ATATATATATATATATATATATAGATATATATATATAGATATATATATATAAATATATATCGTTTGCTATTATGATATAATTTTACAGTAATCTTCGATCATGCAAAAATAAATCAAGTTGACTAAATTTTGAGATGATTGAAGCCAAATAAACTTAGTTTTCGTGTTTTGATCAAAAATGAGAAAAATACTTAAGGAAGAAAAATTCTAAAATCAACTTCTCCATGTTACGTTATGAGTAATTACAATAAAAATGTCCCCCATTGCTTAGTTAATTTTTGTAGCTTCCTAAATTCTTTTATGATTCATTACTTGAAATCTAGCTTATCTCTACCGCAATAAGCTAAATTCAACTTCAGATGCCAGTGTTATTGCTTATATAATTACCAAAACTGAGAAATGGGGCTTACTAAAACACAAATAAGTATCGATAATAATATAATACTATCGATAACAATAAGCTGAAGCATAAATCATAATATATTGACAATACTATAAAGTATCGAGTAGTATCGATTCTTTTTTTTTCAATAATATCGGTGGGATCAAAATTTTTTTCCGATACTTTTTCAATTGAATTATCGATACTATGTCACTAGTTATGGGAATAGCCAAACCTAATAAAGATTATTCAAAATTATCAATCTAAAACGATTTACGACTGCTGCCCAACTTATACATTAAGACTATTATCCCGTTATGTTAAGATTTCTAATTCCTAGTGTTGATAGTGTTTCTAGAGTTAATGGGTGTTGTTTGGGGCGAAGGACGTAGGATATATGCAACCCTTAAAAATTAGAAACATGATAACATCCTCCTCAATATTTCTGACAAATAAAGAAAATTTTCGTGAATTATCATCGATTTAAATTCCTTTAAGTTAAAAACAAGAAAAGGATAAAAATAATCGGTTAAAAATGAGTATTTTTTTCAGGCATTTAGCACATGTAAGAATTTTTTCTTTTTCCGTGAAATTTAGAAAAGTATTGTGACTGCAACTTAATTTCATTCACTTCAAAAATTATGCCTTGCGACGCTTCTATTAGTGCCCATTTTTAGAGTTATTAATTCGTAATGTTCCCGAATGTTAAGACTAGACTGTTATTGATGACTGTCGTCTTCTTTTATTAAAGCCGTTATTACGTAATATTGAAACCATTTGAAATTGATATTTCCTATAGAAATTGATGTTAGGTATTTAAATTTTATGTGAAAATAATAAAATATTTTTATGCAAAATTTCAGTACCCGAACAGTTTCTTTGCGTATCCTATAAATTTAAATATTATAATTTAGAATTAGAAAAACATTTTAGAATATTATAGAATAATTACTTCAAATTTTTTTTCATGATTTGAAACATTATTTGGTTGTAGGTTGTAAAAATCTTA